TACTTAAATAGGCAACCAAAAGTTGCATGTATGGCTAGTCATACTCTCATTAGTAATAATCAGAGAGCTTAAATAGGCAATCTCCTAGTTAGGTTGCAGGTATAGCGGCTAGTGTAGAACCCAGGCGGACCACTTAAATTAAGTACCAAAAGTACACGTGTGGCTTGATGTACTCTCATTGTAACTGTATAACCTGAAGTTAATAAGTCTAATAAAAAGTCCCCAGCCATAGAGGTCACCTTAACGCCAAAAAAAAAAAAAAAAACAAATAAGATTTTTTAAAAAATCATTTATAACTACAAATTTTTATTAAGAAACTATTTTTTGTTTACTAATAAAAAATACTTCTTGACCAATTTTACATATAATTTGTTTATTTTATATTTTAATTATAATTTTAATTTAGAAATATTTAGCATTAATTTTGTAATTTTTCTTTTAAAAAATTTTTATTAGCTATTAAAAATGTGTTAACAAGTTAGATATTATTAAGTTATCATTATCAAATTAAATTACATAATCAAAATTAAATTTTATCTATACGTATTATATTTATATTTATGTTGTAAACATATTTAGCAAAAAACAGTTTCTGTAAAGTTGGGGTGTGCGGTATGTGGTTGTGTATAAATTTATACATAGCAAAATTTTAAATAGATGTACATAATTGATAACTGATACGTACGTAAGGGCAAAAACTGGTACGCACAATTGGTAATAAGATCGGTATAATACTTTATTCGTAAGACGTAATACGATACTGTTTTTTGAAAAACTGTCGAACCATTAGGGCTGTGCATCTATCTAAATTTTACCATAATAAAATATATATACGTTCTAAAAAAATTTTGTTATATGACCACGTATACGTACGTAGTTTTGACTTGCATAGTATACCCTATAATACGTATTACAGAATGTATATATTAAAGTTACGCTTTAAGATTTTTCGTTAATATATATGTTTTGAACATTCATAAATTTCATTAATTAAAATGAAAATTTTATATCTTAAACATACAAGCTGAAACTTACTAAAACTTTTATAAAAAATCGACCGTAACTTTTTAGAGATAGTTTTATTAAGCGTTTTCAATTAAAATAAATAAATAAATTAGTAAGTAAAGGGCAATATTAAGGTGAATCTTTTAGAAGTTTTATTTTCTCTATAATTGATAATATTCAATAAAATCTGATATTTGATTAATTAGTCCCTAACTACAGGTCTAATCTTAATCTTACCGGTAACAACTCTTTTTTTGCTATGGCTAAGGTGCTAGACACATATGTCTTTATTCACAACAATTTTTTTAATGCAGTAATTTAATGTGATAGATAACTTGGCCCGATGGTTCATTATAGAACTGCCCATATGGTTTCGATTTTTACGTTTTTATTTTTCAAAAGTGCGTAAATCTTCTTTTAAATCCTTTTTTTTTGCGATCTTTATCCTAAAAAAAAAAAAAAAAAAAGAAAAAAAAAAGTTCATATTTGCTTAATTTTTGACTTATACTATAAATCTCGATCATTTTACTGTCTTAATCTGCTGCCTAAACTTTGTTAGAAAAGTTCATTTTCAGAATCTTTGGCGAATTGAAATAAAAAAAAACTTTATATGCTGTAGTATTAACATGAGTTTTTTAACTCTAGAATTTCATAACTTCAGTCTATTTATGCAAAGAATTATTTTATTTTGACTAATACTAATAATAAATTTATCTTACTATTTGTTATTATAATTGTTATAATATTATATACATGATTTATATGTTATCATAATTAGATTATAAAATAATGTCATAAAAACAATATTTTAAATTATTGCAATATGAGATTACTATGTCAAAGGCTCTGAATGCTATAAAAGAAATAGTACTACAAGGAAACAAAAGATATAATACAAAGTAAAAAAAAAAACAATGAATGCAAATAAATAAATACAAGAAAATGCATTTAATACATGTGATAGTATTAAATCTGATCTAAAAAGTTAGAATATACAATTTTAAATTTATCTTATAAAATTAGTCAACAATGATTAAATTGATTAATTATTGAATTAAAAAAATTTTAGATCAATTTTATAATACTAATATAAATAACATTATGCCTCGTAAATAAGTAACTCTTTAACGGCAAAGTCTTTTGCAAAAGTTTCCTCTTTTACATTCAAAGCCATTTCCAAATCCTCCCATGCCTCATCATATCGACAAACAACATCTCTTAAAATAATACTTCTTTCACATTGGTCGTTCGCATATTTAATTTAATACGTAATTTAATTCATTTGAATGAAATTTATGAAGACTTTCATTCGCCTAGTGTATGTCCTCTACTTTCAGGTTCAATTAAATATATGAAAATCAAATACGTTGAGACTCTAACAGATCTAGAAAAAGCCCTTATTGATATAGGTTTTGATAAATTTGAAGGTATGTAATATTATATTATCTTTGTTATTTCATTAAAATTTGAAATTTTAATAAATATCTCGTATTTTCTTTACAGATCGACTTCAAGAACTTACCATGATGGTACGCGAGATAGATCGTAATTTAGATTGTGCATGTAAAAATTTACAAAATGATATAGAAAAATGGAAGAAACGTAAAAACATGGCAAATTTCTCTTATATTTTATCAATGTACATATTGTTTTTTTTTTTTTGAAATATTACTATCAATATTTAACAGTTATTTGAAAGTTATATGAACATAATTTTTAACTAAACTTATTTTTTTTTACCATATAGCCTTATAGCTATAGCATTTCCTTCAATATATCATTATTACCGACAAACTGATAATGTTCCTTTTGGATTTGTAACGGTAACTATCTACAACACCATTTATCTGAAAATGATTTTTTTTTTTAAAAAAAAAAAAATTAATCTGCTCTTTTTTTTTTTTCGTAAACAGACAGTAGTTGGTTGTGTTATAAGTCTATTATTTGCACTTTGGCATGGCTGGTCACGTAACAGTTATAGCCGAGCAATACAATCCCACCGAAAAGCAATACCAGTTCACGCAGCAGTGGGAGAAAGCATAGAATCATTACAAAGATGGTTGAATAGAATTTCTGTTGTGAAAAAATGCAAAGTACCAATGAATAATAACGAATTGGCAAGTAGAAAAGCTACTTTGATTTATTTGTTTGATGAACTAGTATCTGCTGCTGCAGATATGAGATTGAGCATTGGATTAGAAGATGAGTTCAAAAGGCATAGATAGAAGAATGAGATGAAAATTTTTCATTTTTGAAAAAGAAATGTAGAATGATAAATTGGCTTGGAATAGAAAAACTCGAATGAAAATATTTGGGTTTAATAGTAGACGACAATATGTATTATGCATAAAGAACTTTGTATATTGAGTTGTAAATTTACATTATTATCAAACATATAGATATTATCATTGAATTCAATCTGGATGCATTAATGAATTAAACGAACAAACAATTAAACAATTACTGTATTTATTTTATTTATTTATTTATTTATTTGCATAATCGATATTAGCACCATTAGGTTTATTAGATATTTTCACAGATTATAATTATTATACGTATATAAGTTTTATGTAATTTTTATTAAGCTTCTAGTATTTATATTGAGAATTGACAGTGCCATAAAGCACCATTTAAAGTCTCTTACTTTGCATGTGATTTTGTATCGTGCTTTTAAAATGACGCTTTTTTTTTTTTTATAAATGATTATGTAAAATATGTAAAAGCTTTTTCATTATGGTTGCTAATGGTGTACTCTGGAGCCAACTGGCTTTAATACCAGTTTTAAAAAGTTTGACTAACGATCAAAGTGATTAAATCCTTAATTATAATCTGCTTAGCGTTAGCATAGTTAATTTCGAAATAACGCGCACCTCAGGTAATATGTCGAAATTATGCACATGGGAATATTCGAAATAACGCGCAGGTATTGGAATAAGGCGAGACCAATTTAATTCGATGGTTTACGTTACATTCCTTTCTCAAAAGGGGGGATAGTAAAAATTAATAAATTTTTTTTAATCGGAAATTATCGGGCCTGACCTTGTTCGTCTCGTCTTTTATGTTCGTTCATTTTAATTTTTCGGATCCTTACAATTTCTAATCTTAATTCCGCCCAGCATTATGCACTTTGGCCAAATCATATATATATTCCAAATTTTTATTACTAGAAATCAAAGGGGGTAATGTAAACTACCGAATCAAATTGGTCCGGTCTAACATGCATAAATTCGTTAATTTGAGAATCTACGATAGTCAAAATTTTTAGCATGCTAGAGATGCGATCCGAAGGACCGGGTAAAATCGCCACCCAAAAAAGTTTCTATCATCACGTGACAAATACAAAAATTTTTATTATCGATCTATTTGTTACTATTTGAATTAGTCATGTTTTCTTCAATAATTTTTTTGTTGAGTTTTGGATTCAGAATTATAAAACTTTTTGCTCAAATAAATAATCAGTTAGTAATTGCCTGATTAGTTTTTCTAATTTTATTTCTTTTTTCATTTATTAGTGGAAATTTGGTTACGGCGAACAATGAGTATTTTTAGAATATTGTGTCATTGGATTTTATGTTTTTAAAAGATTGCAACGATCGTTTTACATTTTGAAGAATCGAAGAAAACAAAATCATTTACTAAATCAATTAATACTTTATTAAACATTATTATCATGATCCTAATCATGATGAATTGACAATAGCACATGGTTTTCGAAACTTTTTTGGGTGGCGATTTTACCCCGTCGATCCGATTTAAAAATATAAACCCTACCAAAATCCACTTATACTCTTTTATTATTAAAACTACCCCTAAACCCTAACCTAACCCTAAAAAAAAACCTAACAAAAGGCCCCAAAAATTTTTGAAAATCTCATATTAATAAAATAATTAGAATTTCCAGCTTCAGCCACGACAATTATTATAAAGAACCCGAATATTCGGATATCCGTTAATTTTAAATAGGAAAACGGATAACGGATCGCTCGGAATTATAATTATTCCATCTTTCGGAATTATGATGATAGTGATAGCGATTTGGACTCATCAACTCGTGACTCGAATAAATAGTTTATCGAATCATGGGTTCATGGGATTCGCGACAGGGGCGGTGAATACTTCCGCAATAATAATATGTTTTTTTGTCCAATCAAAATTCAATATTTGGAACGTTACAATAACTTTCATTATTCCATTTATTCTTAATGGAAGTATTCACCGTCTCCGATTCGCGAGTCAAAATAATTCACGCAATTGTTAACGTTAAGTATATTTAAATATGTTTGTTCTTTTAAATATTAAATATATGATTGTATAATGAAAACCGGATTTCAGAATATCAAAGTTTATTATTTATCAGACTTAGCCTTTGAAAATCTAATTTGACTCGAGTACGAGTCCAGTTTCTAATCGCATGATGATCATACTTATTGGGATTCTTGCTAACCGGGACTATGATTTATATAGTTATGTATATGAAGAATAATTGTGAGGGACCAACATGAGGTTGGTTCCAACGTGAGGTCAATTAGTATTTTTTATGATTACTAATCTTTGGCGGACTTTAAATACTAATTGATCTTTCGTTGGAACTAACCTCATGTTGGTCCCCCACAATTAATTAACGACAACAGGTATTGATAGTTAAAATGATATTACATGTATTGTGTAGTATGAGATACTATAGGATATTTAATTGAAAATCAAATGAATATTTAACTAGCACATTTATAGAGATAAAAAAAGAAATGTTAAACGTATGAATCCACAATGACCCAAAACGTATAGAAACCTCATTTTCTCTTGGCAATACTCGTTTATGGTGGTTTATCAATCTGAAATAACAAAAGTATATTATATTATATAAGAGCTATATGTCGATATATATATTAACATATCATACTTAAATTATAAATTTAAAGATCAGAGTAAATTCATCAAAGTTCGGGTACTGTATCATATGATTTTGAAATATTACTGCATTAAATTACGTAACAATTAAATAATTTTTATAAGTTATGTAATATAAGTTCACGGACGCATAGAAGATCCAACAAAAATTGCCCCTTTATATTAAGGATCTGAAAAACCTATTACTGAAGCGGATACAGTCAAACCTCCATACATGCTCCTCACTTGGGACTAGTGCTCGGCAAAAATTTGATAGTCAAATACTTGTGATTAAGTCGGCATCAAATGATTCAGATCAACCAATATTATATATTCAACTTTGGTTAATCTGCAATCGTTTTGATTGTGCCGAGCACTACTTGGGACCGATCATAAGTGTGTATTTGTAAAGGGTGTGCATTTATAGTGTGTAGTTTTATTAGTGTCATTATTAGTTGGGCTGAGGCATAGGGTGCAATTATAGAGGATGTGCATTTATAGAGCGTGCATATATAGAGGTTTGTATTAGTAGAGGGCGTGCATTTATAGAGTGTGCATATATAGAGGTTTGACTGTATTTGTAGAGGTGTGCATTTATAGAGTGTAGTTTTATAAGTGTTATTATTAGTTGGAACTGAGGCAATTATAGAGGGTGCGCAATAGAGCGTGCATATATAGAGGTTTGACTGTATATACTTAACCTCTATAAATGCACTTTTTCTTATTATTCTCTATATGCACGTTATTAAAGTGTGATTCCAAGAGTGTGCACTTAAATAGTCTGACTGTATTTTTCTTTATTTTTCTTATCATTTAAAATAATGTAATCTAATTTGCGCAATGACGATTTTTTTTCGATATATCGAGCCCAGGGACCCGGAAAAATATCGATTTTATTTATGGGAATTTCAAATCCTATAAATAAAATCGATATTTTTCCGGGTCCCTGATCGAGCCATTTTTCTTCGATATTTTTGTTGTAAAAATTCTTAGTTTTTAAGTTCTTACAGAATTATGTCCTAGTTAAGATCTTATTTATGAAAATTTGAACGTGCTCTTTTAACTTCATATATTCCTGTGTTTATTGATCTATATATGCTGTATATATATGTGATACTCGAAATTTTTTTTTGGGTGGCGATTAAATGAATCTATTATATGTATCAATTCAGCTCGACATTCAAGGTAAAAAATTTTGTCTTATTCAATATTTGTCATGAATTAATAATTGTTCTGGTTTTTTTTAAACTAAAATTCAAAAGATCAAAAAAAATTCTAAAATTTGTTTTCTGGCCAGAAAATCATGTGACTACGCCCTCAATTATTGGGAACACTGGTGTTTTTTTTTTTTGATTTGTGTCGGGAGTATTTTGCAGGGGAAACGTCCTTTGGGGAAAACACATTGTCAGAGAAATTGTCAGTGAAATTGTCAGAGAAACGTAGACATTGCAGTCAAGGAAGTGAATATTAGTTTTCGTTGGAAATGTTTTGTCATGGAAATAGTTGTTAGGTATTCTTGTCAGATACCATTACACATTACGGCCGATTTTGTTCAGGCCTTAAAATTTAAAACAATAATTTTAGATTATTTATGTTTTTTTAGTAGTCGATACTGATATGTATAGAGTTGATAAGTACTTGTATACACCATGAACAGAATCGGCCGTGATGAAATTAGGTGTCATATTCTTTACAGAAACCCATAAATTTGCTTAAATATAATTATAATATAATTGATGTATTTTTATTATATATATAAAATATTACAAAAATAAAATATATTATAAATATTATAAAAATATATTAGATATATTA